TCCATTGTTGACACTTCCATTGTTACTTAAAACTTCCATTGTTACTTAACACTTCCATTGTTACCTAACACCGCCATTGTTACTTAACACTTCCATTGTTGATGGAAGTGTTAAGCCTTAATCCTGTCTTTTTCCCCCCCGGGAGGAATTTCGAAAAATCCCTTCTTAGTGTGCGTTTTCGTGACGTATCCTATCTGTGTACAAATTTCAGCTTCCAACTCCTAGCCGTTTGGGCTCTGCACTTATTATTATTGTTATCAACCCGTCTCGATTATATTATAGATAAGTATGTCTGCTTACGGAATTAGTAATAATAATACATTTACTAACACATAGTGGTGCTTAGATTTATTGCAAAAATATACTAAAACATCTGCTGTAAATCATTACTATAAACTGATGTGAAACATGTTTTTTCATAATGTCATCATACTTATCGGGATTATTTAGTTTTTAAACTCTTCTACTTGCTAGTTTACGTTTAAATAAAATAATAATAAAATATATAAAATTGCAAATATAGGTTAGTTTTTTTTAAAACTCCGCCCTGTAGGCACTAAGAGGGCCTCATTTAGCAAGCCCATTATGGCTTCGGCCATGCCCACAATGGGGCGGCAGGGTGGTGAGGGACGTTGCCCGACATATCCGGATTGACTACCTCCCGAAAAATTCCTGAGGATTTTTTGACCCATCCGGATCCCAGAAGCAGTAGGCTGTCACCTCGATCGCTCGGTCATCCGGCCACCGATATAGATTAGTAAGAATACTGTATATAACATGTTATACAGAATATTAAAACAATAATAAAAATGCCTATACGATTTAAAATATTCAAGTGTTTAACCTAATTTTTTTAAAACTTTTATTGTAGTCCTGTTAGAAATTGATCTAAAGAATTGAAGTCAAGTTCAAAAATTTCAGCTAAAATAACTGTTTAATTATGTTTAATAAGAGAAAGCCTTTTACTCAGATTCATCTTGGATTCGGCCAGGCTCATAATGGGCTAGTCGGGTAGTGAGGGACATGACCTCACATATTCAGAACAGACCGTCCACAATAGTTTCTGGTTTGCTCGATCCCGAGTTCGCAAGAGGAAGAGGTATAGGTTAACATCTTATCATCCAGCCATAATAGTCGATTGTCTAACACAGTGTTTTTCAACCTTCTTGAATACGCGACCCCTTTACAAGTTAAAAAATTCTGGCGACCCCCCTAGGGCCATATTAAACCTATATCAGTGATTTTAAAAACCATGTATTTAATTTTCTTTCTGTTGAGACAAATTATTGTTGATTAAAATGAAAATTTCAGAAGAATCGACAATAATTTAACACACAAAGTATGAAACTTCCTTTAATTATAACATTAGGCACAGGGAACTGTTGACTTTTTTTTTAAGATCTGAATTTTCAGCTTCTACTTTTCTACTTTTTATTTCCTTTTGCAAAACAGCTCAACTCAACACTTTTTCCGCTATCATTTTCTGGGGTGGGCCGTAATTCTCGCTGAAATTGTAGTTTTATTAATGTAGTGTAGGACCTACAAACACTTGTCTTTTTCTTCTACCCGCGATCCCCCGTGTAAGGCTTCGCGACCCACAGGTTGAAAAACACTGGTCTAACATATCGAACTTTTGTGGAAGTTATATGAATTATTCTTACATACTACATAAAATAAACACAATTTTAGTATATTCATGTGTGTTTATAAAAAAACATATATTGTATATATATACTTTAACCCACGAGATAACATATCTGTTATCTAGTATGACAGATATATTATTTACATTATATATAAATGAAGCGATATATGCTTTAGAAATCAATTGACGTGTTTAGCATTCAAAAAAGTTTAAAAGTAGCAAGCAGCTATGTAAGCAAACCAATAGCATATGCAGTTTCACATGAAACGGACTATGCTATTGGTTCGCTCACTTAGCTGCTTATCACTTAGAAGCACTAAGTAAGACGATAGGTTGATAATTTTAAAATAAACACCGTAATTAGCTGCGTAATTTTAAGATTAGAGTTGGCAACTTTATCGTCAATTTCTAAGATGGCGGCTACCGGTGGTGTAGTGTGTAAAGTTGGTCCTTCGATTCTGAATGCGGATTTATCGGAGATTTACGCCGAATCTCAACGTATGTTAGAAAGTGGAGCAGATTATCTACATTTAGATGTTATGGATGGACATTTTGTACCTAATATTACCTTTGGGCATCCTGTTGTTAAATGTTTACGTAGAAAAATTCCAAACGCGTTTTTCGACTTGCATATGATGGTAGCCAATCCTCAGCAAGTTAGTTATAATCTCCTTTTTCCAAATATATAACTAAATATATTTTGAAGAATTTACTTTATTTTTTCTTTATATAAATAAATGTTTTGTTTTTAGTGGATAGAACCCATGGCAGATGCTGGTGCTAGCCAATATACTTTTCATTTAGAAGCCACAGAAGAACCATTAGAATTAATTAGAAAAATTAAAGAAGCTGGTATGAAGGTAAATAAATATTAAAATATATTCATTATTAATATATATATATATAGCTGGTAAAGTATATTAAAACTGGCAAAATTACAGCTCTGAATGAGGCTGTTGGGACCTTATCAGAGCTGAAGACTATGCCCGTAGGTATAGCCTTCTCTGAAATCAGCTTATCTGGAATTTTTTAAGATCCTCAAAAATGGAGTAAAATTTAAAAGTGAAAAAATTCAGAAGTATTTCTCAAAACTATGCTAAAAGCAACTGTTTTCCATTTTACTGAAGATAGTTAAAAGCCTGTAAAACCTGAGAAACACCACTGCACTGACAACTCTGAGTCAGTGCAGTGCAATCAGTAGACAGCGGATATATAGGCCCTTAAAAGTGGTATTTTAGGCGCTTAAAATAAGCTCTTAAATTGTGTCGTTTAGGCTTTATAAACAAAAAAATAGATGGTCAAAATTTGCACAATGAACAATTAACATACTTATCAAGATGATGAATTTTTTATTTAACTTATGTATTCCAAACAAAAATGCACGTATTCAGAATGATGCAAACACAAAAGTAGACAAACAATTATCTTTACATTTTTTATTTGCTCTGTTTCCTATAGTTAGTTTCATGATATATTACAAGCACTTTTCCCAAATTTTCAATAGAAAAGTTGCAATGTTTGTCACTGAGAATTAATTTATATGCAGAGAAAGAGCATATAATCCATTATCTTCAGTAAATGTGGAACACATCTACTGAAGATAATGGACAATATGTCAACCTTGGAAGAAGATGAACTGGGAATTCACTTTCAGTTTTGCTCTTCTTTCCTCCCAAAATATCAGCCACAATAAACGAGCACTTTAATCCAAGTCTTGAAGCACTTCTTTCAACTCTCTCTTCACTTTTTTTGCAGCAGTGCCTGGTGCATCACAAAGTTTCTGCTTTGCTCTGTTGAGGAGATCAATTTGTTCATATATAAGTTTTCCACTACTTTCAAGAGCAGTAATAGTATCTGCAATGAATGTGAAATAACACTTGATGTACATCAACTTGTTCTGAACATAAATTTTCTTGGCTTTATACTACATTCGCACACAATCCACGACTCACTTCGATCTCGATTTACCTACAATCTGGATTGTGACTGCCGCTAGTCGAATGTCGTGTTGTTTGCACAGGCAGTCCGCTCGAGAAGAACCTGGCTATTACACGCAATCATAAAACTGACGTAACTACACGGTAAGTCACANATATACTAATATACTAATTACATGGGATATAATAATATACTACACTAATAATAGATTTTTTCATACTTTTCGGTTATCCAACTTTTCAATTATCCGACCAACCCCAGTCCCCAATTGGGTCGGATAATTGAGGCTCTACTGTACATATAACGAATACATAGGTAGCATAAAAGTGCATTATATTTATTCTCAAAACTAAGACTCAATTTTGAGAATGTGTGCATAGAAATCAAAAAATAATAAGCTTTACTTAAAATCTAAAACATTGTTATAAGTGTTTGAATAAAAATGTATGACTCTTACAAACAATTTAATTTTTGAATAAATTATATTAATTATAATTAATAATTTTAAAAAAATGAAACAATCTTATTCATTAAAACACAGTGATATAATCATGCAATTTTGAAATAACTGGTTCTTATAGCTCTGTAGTTTTCTGTATCATGCATTATTTTTGAGATAGGAGCACTATCTTCCAAATTTTACCACTAAGAACACTGTAAGGTTTCATCTTGTAGTGCATAGTCACTACTATAACTATACATTATGTTCATAATTGTAGCTATCTGCATTAGTGTAACTGTATAAGGACTTTACTATGCACCCTATATGTACTGTACAGTACATCACACATTACTCCAAGTCCACTTCAAGTACCTTGCTAACTTTCTTTAATTTGTAAATAAATTCAATAAATAATATTAATCTCATAAATGATATGAGTAGATATGTTAGCTCAAATTACCCAATCACTCTATTATGATTTAAACAATCACATTACATAAGCTTAAATAGTAACCCCATTGAAAATATTTATATATATTTCTTATTAATCTCCTTATTTTTAAAATTTATTTAGTTTTAATATTAATTACATAAATGAGTTTTTGACATATTATATGTGCTTATTTGCACCTGATATCGTTATTCATAAAATAATACAAGGTGTCCAAAAAAAAGAACTGATAGATTACAAGTAACATTATGTATTTAAGGAAAACAGATCAACACTTTCAGTAACTGTGAGCAAAACAGTTACTAAATTCCCCATGATCTGAATTGCACGTGTACAGTACTGAGCTTCATTTGATTTGATTCGGCAGAGCTGGTCCAATGCATGTCTGAGTCCTGACAACTTAATTCTAACCACACTGTAGTTTAATGAAATATTGTAGAAGAGACCATTATAAACTCACTATTAAGACAAATTCATAGTTAGTTCATAAATTTACAAATAAAAACAAAATTAAAAGAACTTACATTTTACAAGGAATATTGCCATTGTGCTCAACTAGATTGTAAGTATCATCACTTGTAGCATTTCTAAACATAATTAGAAACATAATTTCATTTCATAAACAATCTGCTTTAAAAACTGTTCTAAATATCAAAGTATAAGTAATATATTAGATAATAATTTACATAATATTTTTCAAATTTTAAAAATTAAATATATTGAACCATAACTTGAACACTTTTATCATAACATAAGTAAATAAATATAAACATATACATATTCACAAAGAAACAAAATAAGAAATGAGAAAAAGTCAAATCAGAAAATTTACATGTAACTAAGTTTACTTTAAAACTTTCACTTCAAACTTGATTTTAAATTTATAAAAAATGTTGCCAAATATTGTACATAAGAATTTTCATTATTTAATAATGTATGAAACAAAATGCTAAGAGTTACGCTTTTAAATATCAATATTAAAATAAATCAAGTTTTCAAAACTTGATTTATTTTAAAAGCATAAACAAAACAAAGCTAAAAAGAATCTGCAATGTTTTTCTGTTGAAGATTGTTTGAAAAAGTGAAAAAAATTTTTTGTTGCCAAAAGAGTAAAAATTGAGCCAAATTTGGCACAAAGTAGCCAAACCTGGGGCATCCTTATATGCACCCTCAATATGCAAACTAACACATGTTTGAATGGAACTGCATCTATTTAAAAGAGTGGACATCATTAAACTTTAACCCCTGTTTTCTGAGTAATGTAGATTGGTCTGCTAAAACCAGATGTTTGAATTGCTCTACAATCAAGGTCAAATCTGTCTTTGCTTATTAGGAGAAGAAAATTATTCTATTCAAAATGGAATATTTATTACAGTAACACTTTAAATTCTTAGAAAATGTTCACTTCATGACAATAAAGTTATAAATTTGATAAAGTCACTTCTCATAACAGACTCTTCTCTGTACACTACTGTTGGAGCCAGAGCTTTATCTTCTCTCTGTAGTTGATATCCATCAGAATTGAAAAGTGACTTCATCAAATGTGGAACATTTTCATCATGAAGCAAACATTTTTTGAAATTTTTTAAGAATTTAAAATGTGATGAGGTCCTGTTCTTTTACAATTTTTTAGAAGTTTGTAAATAAGTAACACTACTTTTTCATACTTTTTGACATGAATAATAAAATCATTATTGGAAATAGGGCTATTTCTGGGGTTTGTGAAGGTAATTTATAGTTCAGTTTAATAAATTCTAGTAAAATTTTTGTTCAGTTTATCACATGAAAATAACATTGTGACAATGGCATTTTGTCAGGCAAAATTTGTTTTGACAAGAATTCACTTTATTGGTGTTTGTTTTAAGGTGAGTCGACTGTATTCATCTTGTTTTCTTCTTCAATGTATAACTGATCATATATTATTGGAACGAGACAGGCTTTTGTTTAATTCTATATATCATAATTTCTATCATAATATATCACTTATGCACACTTTGCAGGATCTGAGATTTTTCCCTTTTACTTTTTGTTTATATAAGAAAAAAAAACATTTTATTTTAAATAGTACAGTATAATTAGTCTTATTCTCAGCCCACAAGTTTGTTGGACTCTAGCATAAATATACCAATATTACAAACAAAAATATTATATTTAAATATGGCATTTAATCTATATATATAAAAATGAATGAATGTGTGTGTGTGTGTGTGTGTGTGTGTCCTTCATGCATTACCACACTGTTTATCCGATTGCCATGAAACTTTGGGAAGTTTTTTAATACACTCCCGCAAAGGTTTCTAGCATAGTACATTTATCCTATGATAGATGGCGCAAGTGTATACGAGCATTTTACTGTGTGTTTGATTTCAAATTGTGAAGACCATTTCCCCCTCCAAAAAATATCTCTATATATGCATTTGTTATTTATGATATTTATAATAATTTTTGTTTAATCACTTTATTTCAACTATTTTTTGCTAATTATGTATTTGCTCGAACTTTGTTAAAACCTTAACTGTATCCCAAACAACAACCGAAGTTGTAGGAGGAAATTCACCTATTTTACCAATCTAGGGATCCCCCTTTTCCAAATTTTAATATCAACTCAAAATAATTTAAAAAGACAAATTACAATAAAACAGTTTATTATCCAACTATCAAAAATTTCACAACATGCCAAGGAAGAGAGGAAGTAGCAATTAAATAATCAAAATTATAAAGGATTAAAAAAAATATATAAAAATGGGGAATATCACACTTCTGACAATCTCTGCGAGTATGTGGGCTAAATTTAAAGAATCTGTGCTTCTCACATGGACAACTGTATGTGGCCAGCTCACGCGTCGGAAAACCGTCTGATTTATTCGTGTATGCACCAGACGGAAAAACAAAAAATATCGTGTATCCACAAGCACTCCAATAAATAAATAGAATTGAAACGACTTAAATGTTTTCCCGATGAAAATGAATAATAATAATAATAAGTTTCAATAAAAATGATAAAATGTAAATTTAATTTTATCATAACGAGTTTGCTTGAATTTCGTTTCTTCTGAGATCGCAGCAATGTGCGACGGGTAAGTTATTTCTATCATAAAAAATAAAGTAGGATTAGCTTTAATTGACAAAATAAATGAACAATTCTTTTTATATGGATCAGTAAAAATTTTATAATCTAACTATAAATGTATCTAAATTTGAAAAAAGCTCAATTTGAAAACTAACAGAAAGCTTCAAGTGAAGATGTGGAAGTTTTCCTGATTATAATATTTACAATTCAGTTGTGTATTAACTACTAAAGTAATAAAGAATGTTAATTATAAAATGAACAATACATATCATTAATTGTATGTACAAGCAGTCTTGAATTTTAGATAATTTGCTCTTTTGTACATACTATATTAACTCTAAATCACTTTTCATATACCAAATTTAGACTTTTGTGCATTTTCAACTGGCAAAGGCTTCAAACTATCATGCAAAGGAACTTTCTACCAGTTTTAGTTTCAATAACATCAAAACAGTTTGAAAAAATTAAAAATCCAATTTGCAATAAATAAAAAATCCAGAAAATGACTAATATCAAGTTGTAAAGGTGAAATTTACACATTTTGAAAAAAAAACTTTATTGGCGATTAACTCAACAACAATTATAGTTCAGTCTTGTAGGTAATCACCATAAATATCAATCACATCTCATCAGCTTTGATGCAAAGTTTCAATCCTATGAGCACAGAATAATTGGAGATTTTCTTTGTAAAAGTCTTGAGCATTGTTCTCACATAAATATTGTCATTGAATTGATACAGCAACAGCAGGCAAATATTTTCTTTTGAAAGTTTCATATTGTCAGACATTGCTGATGCATCTATATCCAATGAAATACATGATGAAATGTCCCTGGTTACTTTAGTTATATACCCATATATAATGTTCTATAACATTTTTTCCTGGTTGTTTACAGAAAAAAACCAGCAACCAGTTGCTCAACTTTCCCAGTAACATTTAAAATTTTGGTAGTGCCATCTGTTATAATATTTTATCTTAAAACTTTTTATATTTTTAACTATTATAAAATGGCAAAAACCTTAATTTTGAGGATAGAGATGAGTTTTATAAAAAAAATTGTAAATGCTAATAATGAGTAAAATTGTCGTTAAGACCAATCCTACTGGAGATACACATGAACCCTATTATCTCCCACCCTCTCAACCTTTAATCTCCAAAATTTAATAGCATCAATCCCCTTAATAAACAAATCTCCCTGCAAAATTTCAGAAATTTTTGACAAAAAGCACATAAGTTATTAAGATTCAAACAAGGGTGAATAAAATCAGGTGAATAAAAAAGTTGCCACTCACCAACATCCATCCATCCATACATACATATAGAAATTACCCCTGAACTTTTTTGCATTTCTTGATGTCTCAAAGTGTCCTATGTCCAAAAATGTAAAAATCTTGGGGGATCATTTATTGACCAATCGCCATACTTTCCTTCTGTAATACAGGGTGTATCAGAATGACGTTTTAAAAATTTGGGGGATTGTAGAGGATGAAATTCTAAACGTTTTGATATAAGGAACCTATAGCCAGAAATGTGATATAAAGTTTCTACAGCACTTTGCACGTTCTATGCGGTCAGTATGCTGAATGAAACAGCAGAATACAGTATTTATGACAAGTTTTATTGACAAAACAGTAGAGTACAATTAAACTGTACATCGAATCAGCAGCTGTACTACTTTAGAGTAAATGTTCAATGTGACGATCACCAACTTCATAACATAATGTGCAACGACAAACCATGTTTGTCCGACTCTCTGTAAGATGCCACACTCCCCTCTGATGGTATTAAATGCTGTAAAGATGCACTCCGTAAGCTTATGAACTGTGCCTAATAGTTATTGCATACACAAGGGACTCACGTTGACTAGCTGTGTGTTTACAGCACAGCGCCAGTGGATGCAAGGGGTGACCTGAATGACGACAAGCACTAAGTACACGTCCTGTACACAGGCTCAGTTAGACCACTGTAGATGTGTGTTTACAGTCTTCCATCTGCAATAACATGATGTCAATGGACGGAAGGGTAGCTACCAAAGTGAAGGGCAGTCAAGCACTTACTACCACTGTAGACACTTTAGTTCAAATTTCTGGCTATAGGTTCCTTATATCAAAACGTTCAAAATTTCATCCTCTACAACCCCACAAATTTTTAAAACATTATTCTGATACACCCTGTATATAACAGCCAGGAAAGTAAAAATCAAAATTTTTAAATTTCATCTTTACAACCCAATAAAACCAAAATATCCAAAAAAATTAAACAAAAGAAACTAAATCAAATAATTGATACTTTAATTATATAGATTTATGGTGTTTCTAAAAAAAGGCTTGCCGTATATTTGGGATTAGGTCAGACAATCCAGGATTTACATGCCTCTAAGATCTTTAAATGTCATGATTCCAAAATTATAATTAATAAGATATTTAGAAACATGATTAAGTGATTTGTCATTG